ATAGTATTTCATGCCGGCACACCGCCTGCAACTTTACAAGGCGCAGGTTCGGCCTCACATGGAATACTGTTCCCATCTCTGGGCTGGGGCTCCCCAGTGCCAGCTCCTTCCACTTGACCGCATCCAGCGCAGAGCGGCTCGAATCGTCGACGACCGAGTCCTTTCCGATCGGCTCGACTCATTGGCACTGCGAAGAGATGTTGCATCTCTTAGCATTTTCTTTCGCATTTACCATGGGGAGTGCTCTGAGGAATTGTTCGGATTAATCCCAGCCGCCAAATTTCACGAACGCACATCGCGGCAGAACTCCCGATACCATCCACACCATCTGGATGATTGGCGGTCTACCACTGTGCGATTTAGAAGATGTTTTCTTCCTCGCACAACTTCCTTGTGGAATAGTTTACCACCAGCGATTTTTCCGGACCGATACGACTTACGGACCTTCAAGAAAAGAGCCTACTCCTTTTTAAAAGGCCGGCAACGCATCTGCAATTCCCCTGGTGTTGCGGTTGTTCATGGGCGGCGGTAGTCACTTACCATCAGGTGAGCCGCATGCTCGTTTGCCCCCTCTCCTATAAAAAAAAAAAAACCAAGTAATTAGTTTGTAATTATTTGGGTACATGATGTACTTATATGAAAATTTTAATAAAAAATATAGCAGATATTTTGTTGCTAGTCAATATTTATGTTGCTACTCATAAAGACAAATAAAATATGTGCTATATTTTTCCTAAAATTTTCATGTAAATATATATAGCATGTACACAAATAATTACTAACTAATTACTTGGTGACCCTTATCGATCGACTTTATGTTGTTGTTGGCTGTTTATGAGTTGCTGCTTTTATTACTGACCAGCTACAAAATATCTGCTATTTATTTTCCTGAAATTTTCATGTAAATAATAGGTTGAGTACACAAATAATTATTAACTTATTACTTGATGCAGTGATTTTATTTTGTTGCTGGCTCTTTATGAATTGCTGCTTCCATAACTGACCAGCAACAAAATATCTGCTATCTTTTTTCCTAAAAATTTCATGTAAATATAGCATGTAAACAAATAATTACTTACAAATTACTTGGTTTAGCTTATTGATCGACTTTATTTTGTTGCTGGCTCTTTGTGATTTGCTGCTTCCGTTACTGACCAGCAACAAAATATATGCTATATTTTTTTCTAAAATTTTCACATAAATATAGCATGTACACAAATAATTACTTAGTGCAACTTATCGATCGATTTTATTTTGTTTCTGGCTGTTTATGAATGTGTGCTTTTATTACTGGCCAGCAACAAAATATCTCCTATATTTTTAGTAAAATTTTCATGTAAGTATAGCATGTACACAAATAATTACAAACTAATTACTTGGTGACGCTTATCGATTAAATTTATTTTGTTGCTGGCTCTTTATGACTTGCTGCTACCATTACTGAGCAGCTACAAATATTGTGCTAACTTTTTTTCCTAAAATTTTCTTGTAAATATAGAATATACACAAAAATTACTAACTAATTACTTGGTGCAACTCATTGATCGACTTTATTTTGTTGTTGGCTCTTTATGACTTGCTGCTTCCATAACTGAACAGCAATAATATATCTATTGTTCTATTTTTAAAACTCCCGTATAGGCAGCATGTACACATTTATATGTAACTTATTACTTGATACAGTTTATCGACCGATTTTATGTTGTTGTAGGCTGTCTGGGAGTTATTGATCTATTTATTGATCAGCAGCAAAATTTTCTTTAATTTAGAACTTCAGAACTAGTATTAAAAAATAGCTTGATTTTAGTATTTTTTTGCATTACAGCAAGTAATAAGCAACAAATTATCGCGTTTTATCCGCTACGGCCGGGGTTGATTGAAAGTTTTTACTGCTATCTTTATGTAAAAATAGCAGTAAATCAATTTTCTCAAAGCCGGGAGCAACAAAATCGCGATTTTGGTAACTAATTAGCAACAAATTACCTACAAGTTCCTAGATACAATTTTTATGTTTCTGCTGACTTTTCACTGCTTTCTTTATAGAGCTATGGTATCAGGACGTTAAATCTCTCTATCTCCCTGTGACAATGCTGTAAACATGTCGACAATTAAAAAGTTAAAACTAAACGTGATAACATTTGTAAAATTAGTTTCATTTAAGGCGCAGGTTGAGCAAAATGTCGCGCTAGTCGTTATTTGTGCTGTTTTTAAGAGCTATCTACTTTTTATTTAAAAGATATATCAACAAATAAAAAACACATTATATTTCTACATAATCTTGATTCCATAAAAGCTATATCCAATTTTTTTTTAAAGGAATAAATATTAATATAATCTCCTTACAACGAAACCACATAAATGTGAAATTATTATTGATAACATGCATCTCCTCGTAAAGTAAGTATTATTTTATTTTGCGATTTACATCAATGGATAGGCAATTTATTAATGAACATTTCTATAGTAAATTTTTTTTCAAAAGACCTAAATTTGATTTTATTAAGAATTTATTTTAAAATCTGGGCATATTCAGTGCTCACGGGCTTGCTGAAGTCAGTGAGCCCTGAGCTCTTCGACGTGAAGCCCGTGTCGTTAGAGCGTCGATCAGCACATACACTCACGTCATATCAGTCGAGAATAATATTACTTATTAGGTTATTTATAGGTAGTATTATTTGTTTGTTTTGGGTATAATTTTTCGTATGACTTATACATATGTTTGTTATATTTTTTACTGCGCGATGAAGCTTTTTGCGTGTATTTTCTTTGAAGTAAATGCAAATAAAACAAATGCACCATTAGCATGTAAGGTTCGAATCCATAATAAAAATTTCGACAAATATTATAATTTACACTATAAAAGGCTAATTGAATATTATCACCCAACCACAATATCTTATTAAGTATAGTACTGCCTCGTTGGTCTAGTGGTTGTAGTAGTGCGACTTCTGATCATGAGGTCCCGGGTTCGAATGCTGGGTCGGGCCAAAAAGTCAGTTATGAGTTTTTCATTTATGTTCTAAGTTATAATTAGTATTACTAAGTTATAGTTTTTTTGCTAAAATATAGTATATTATTTATTGCTTGTTTTTTCTTCTTTTTCAAAAAATAATTGAGTACATAAGGTGTTCTATACTTATAATTCGGTAAAAAGTATCTAAGTAGGTACTAATATACCTACTTTTTACTATTAACTAAAAATTTTTAAAACTAAATTTAACTAAAAAGACTAAACTGACCATTTATTTTTTAACTCAAAACAGGACATGGGTTTATTTATACTCTAAAAACTATAACTTTATACAATTAGTGTTCACTGTAAAATTATATTCGGTATAGACGGTAATTATGAAAGGCAACATATTTTTTTTAATTATTAATTACATTTGTCAGTGGATTAACTTTGCTTTAATAAAGTTGGTGATGATTTTAAATAAAAATAAAATTCTGCTCAAGTTTTTTTATTGTTATCTTTGTTAACAACATCGCCTTTAGAACTCTGGAACCGTAAGTGTTTCTTTCAGACGTCCACAATTTATTCAAAATAAAAAAATACTCTTTCTACCGGAGCATTCGTACCAGGTAGACATAAAATATATTCGATTAAAAAAATTATGTTGAAGATTGTTGATTTTGAATACTTCCATCCAACTAGTTACGGGACAATTTTGTGTCCCGGAGCTTTGTTTGGGGACAATGGGACAGGTGACCGAGAAAAGGGACAGTCCCGTTCAAAACGGGACGTATGGTCACTTTAGCTATAACCTGGCGACGGCTCCGTGGCGTAGTGGCTTAGTAATCAGTTGTTGCGCTGGGGGCCGCGGGTTCGAATCTCGCACGGAACAAGTATTTGTATGGCCTACAAATAATTGTTCTGGGTCTGGATGTTTGTCCTTGTGCAATTTATGTTTGTAAACTGCCTCCACGACACAGGAGAAAATCCTAGTGTGGGGGTAACGTTTTTTTACAATTGAAATTGAAAGATTGAACCCTTATACTTCTTGTTGATTTTTGTATTACCTTTATTAAAGTTACCCTTATGTATAAATAAATATAATTACGTATGTAGAAATAAAATTGATTTTCATCCTCATCAATCATTGGGGCGAGGATAATGTCTGCCAGCAAAGTAATAACCAGGCTAAGTTACAAGGTGCTCAGTTCAAAAATTTGTAGGTAGGATATGTTACTTTTCAATACGTGACACGTAAAAATTAACAATAATCAAAAACACATCTACGAAACATCCTATTTATTTATTTATTCTTTATTGCACCAAATATTTGTACAAAAGGCGAGCTATCTATTTATTTATCCATAGTGAATAGGTATCTTTTAAACTGACAATTTTCAATGCTTCATTTTTAATATATAATTAATTATAAAATTTCATAATTAGATAATATATGAAAATACATAATTCTAATATAATGCAAATAATATACCGAATAAAAAAATTAAAATACATTTATCGTTGTACGCTGTGTGTATTTTCATAAATTAGTTTATTGATGTTGAAAAAATAATACTACATAATAGGTGGCGTCTTAAATAAGCAATATATTGAAGCGAGCGAGCGGCGTGTCGCCGGCAAATGCTCAAGGTCGTTCGCATGGAGTAGCCCCTTAATGTGTAGTATTGGCGTAAATATAATAATAAATCATATGTATGATTTATTATATTTACGCCAATACTCTTTCTTTATTTTTCGGTTTTTTTTTTTGTTAATGCATTAGCAATTTAAAATAATTTACCTGCATATTTTAATATATTGCGATTTTATTGTTTTTATTATATTTATACATTTACTATACAAAACACAGCAGCATTGAGCTGCTAACGTAGGTATTTTGTGAGAGCATTGTCTTTCTCTGGTCGAGTCGAGCCATTCGTGCTGCAACCGTAATATAGCTGCAGCATAGCTGTAGCATTGCAAGTGTAGCACTGTAGGCGCTGATAGTTTGTAGTAGCGGTTGAAGGATATGGCGTTGGCGTTGCAGTGTACCACCCGCGGCGCTACAACGCGTCAGCTGCAGAGCGGGCGGCGTGCGCGCGGCTGCCGTGCTCGCACCTGTGCCTGGGCGTGCCGGCCGGCCGCCGCTGCGCCTGCCCCGACGCGCTGCAGCCGCCCAAGCGCGCCACGCTGCTGCTGGCTTGCGACGCCGGTAACTTCAATTGTTTGTATATACACTGCCGTGCTCGCACCTGTGCCTGGGCGTGCCGGCCGGCCGCCGCTGCGCCTGCCCCGACGCGCTGCAGCCGCCCAAGCGCGCCACGCTGCTGCTGGCTTGCGACGCCGGTAACTTCAATTGTTTGTATATACACTGCCGCGCTCGCACCTGTGCCTGGGCGTGCCGGCCGGCCGCCGCTGCGCCTGCCCCGACGCGCTGCAGCCGCCCAAGCGCGCCACGCTGCTGCTGGCTTGCGACGCCGGTAACTTCAATTGTTTGTATATACACTGCCGCGCTCGCACCTGTGCCTGGGCGTGCCGGCCGGCCGCCGCTGCGCCTGCCCCGACGCGCTGCAGCCGCCCAAGCGCGCCACGCTGCTGCTGGCTTGCGACGCCGGTAACTTCAATTGTTTGTATATACACTGCCGCGCTCGCACCTGTGCCTGGGCGTGCCGGCCGGCCGCCGCTGCGCCTGCCCCGACGCGCTGCAGCCGCCCAAGCGCGCCACGCTGCTGCTGGCTTGCGACGCCGGTAACTTCAATTGTTTGTATATACACTGCCGCGCTCGCACCTGTGCCTGGGCGTGCCGGCCGGCCGCCGCTGCGCCTGCCCCGACGCGCTGCAGCCGCCCAAGCGCGCCACGCTGCTGCTGGCTTGCGACGCCGGTAACTTCAATTGTTTGTATATACACTGCCGCGCTCGCACCTGTGCCTGGGCGTGCCGGCCGGCCGCCGCTGCGCCTGCCCCGACGCGCTGCAGCCGCCCAAGCGCGCCACGCTGCTGCTGGCTTGCGACGCCGGTAACTTCAATTGTTTGTATATACACTGCCGCGCTCGCACCTGTGCCTGGGCGTGCCGGCCGGCCGCCGCTGCGCCTGCCCCGACGCGCTGCAGCCGCCCAAGCGCGCCACGCTGCTGCTGGCTTGCGACGCCGGTAACTTCAATTGTTTGTATATACACTGCCGTGCTCGCACCTGTGCCTGGGCGTGCCGGCCGGCCGCCGCTGCGCCTGCCCCGACGCGCTGCAGCCGCCCAAGCGCGCCACGCTGCTGCTGGCTTGCGACGCCGGTAACTTCAATTGTTTGTATATACACTGCCGCGCTCGCACCTGTGCCTGGGCGTGCCGGCCGGCCGCCGCTGCGCCTGCCCCGACGCGCTGCAGCCGCCCAAGCGCGCCACGCTGCTGCTGGCTTGCGACGCCGGTAACTTCAATTGTTTGTATATACACTGCCGCGCTCGCACCTGTGCCTGGGCGTGCCGGCCGGCCGCCGCTGCGCCTGCCCCGACGCGCTGCAGCCGCCCAAGCGCGCCACGCTGCTGCTGGCTTGCGACGCCGGTAACTTCAATTGTTTGTATATACACTGCCGCGCTCGCACCTGTGCCTGGGCGTGCCGGCCGGCCGCCGCTGCGCCTGCCCCGACGCGCTGCAGCCGCCCAAGCGCGCCACGCTGCTGCTGGCTTGCGACGCCGGTAATTTTAATTGGTTGTATACACCGTAACGCTATAAGGATATAGGAGTGCGGCGACTGCTGAAATTTAAGAAAAGCGGAGTGCTTCACAGGTTTGCTTGAATCAAATCTTGTACGGTTCATTTTAAAGAAACGTAAAAAAGCAGAAAGTATTTAGAAAATTCTAAGATTTTATTTTTACAGAATAATGCTGATAAATGAGCACAGTCTACGTGATAGTAAGCGAATTCTATGCCATACACATGTCTACGTTCATTTTGAGAGCTAAAATGGAATGCTTCGTTTTCAGCAGAAAATATCTCCAGTTCTCTACAATTACTTTGTGAAATATAGTAGCGTTAAGCTGCTATTTTGTAAGAGTTCGTGTCGAGCGACGCATTTGTGCTACAATCATAATATAGCTCCAGCGTGGCTGTACCATGTAAAGTCGCCTCAGTAAAATTGGCAGCCGTGACCGAAATTCTATCTGGAGTACATTATAAGGTTTGGCTAGTTAATGTGATGATGTATGTGGAGGATGTTGAGGATATTGAGGCGGCGGTTGTGTTGCAGCGGTGGAGGCTCCACGGCCGCTGCCACGTGTCTGCCCGTGCGAGAACGGCGGCACGTGCGAGGAGGACGCGGGCGCGGCGGGCGGCGTGCGCTGCGTGTGCCGCGCGCCGCTGCTGCCGCCCGTGTGCGGCGCGCAGCAGGCGGCCGCGCGCGCCGGCGCCGCGCACGTGCTGCTGCCCACGCTGCTGGCCGTCGCGCTCGTGCTCGCCGCCGCCGCGGCCGCCTTCTTCGTGCTGCGGAAGCGCCCCTTGTGAGTACTCGCCGCACACCTCACATTTCACATACCACACCTCACCACACACACACACCACACCTCACCACACACACACACCATACCTCACATCGCATACCACACATCCATGCCTGTAATATAGAAAATCATAATACCAGCTACACATCTCTCATAAATATCCTTTACATTATATGTCGACTCTACCAGACGGTTGCAACAATACACTATACTGCCAGAACCTACAATTAAGGAAAAAGATAAGGAGACTAAGTCAATATTAATAATGAATTAATATACTAAATTAACACAATATTGTACGGACGAAACAAGAAAATACTACAATATCTAATAAATTACACCTCACCTTACACTACACAACTCACACTCAAATAGTTAACTGCACACCCAATATACTCGTAACAATAACATTAAACAGATAAAAAATACAAGTTGATTTTCAAATTCTAATAAGATTTCAGAAATTGTTAACAAATTAGAACCATTATTAACTATTATAAGTTGCAATAACTTTACTATGCGCATTGCAGCGGCAAGGGTGTCGGATTGGGTAGCCTGGCGTCGTCGCAGAGCGTATCGTTCCGCGCCGGCTCGAACGTGGAGTTCGGCGGCGTGGGCGCGGGCGCGGGCGCGGGGAGCGGCGCGGGGAGCGGCGCGGGGGCGGGGGCGGGGGCGGACGCGTACGCGCTGCACGAGCCGCGCAAGGGGCGCGACTTCAGCAACCCCATGTACGACGCGGTCACGCGGGCCGTCGCGCACGGGGAACCGGAGCCGACGCTACGTGAGTGCTCACCGAATTACACCTTACTTTTGTAATATATTAATAAAATTCTCAGTGGCTGCACGGAGTCAGGACGTGGGCGGTGTCTCACCTCCATGCTGGAAAGCACGTAAAGCCGTTGGTCCTGCGCCTGATCTCTGGTCGTGTCGGTTTACAATCCTATTGGACTGTAAGAGTGAGGGAATAGAGAGTGCACCTGTGCTTGAGCACTATAATCTATGATGTGCAAATGCTAGTCTCCGTTGAGGCTGGTCGCCGCGACCAAAATTCGGTCTGATAAACATTATTATTATATTATTAAATTTGAAGTCACATTCCAACATACATCAACACAAGCACTATTTTAAAAACGATATATCTTAAGCAAGTCTATATGATTAGTTAATACGTAACAAAATAACTAATAACTATTGAGTTATTTTTTTATATTACCACTTTTCACATTCATTTCACAATATCATTTAATTTTGAGTTATGTTCAAAATTTCATACCTCTAGCTCATCGGAAAGTTAGTTTAAAATCAATTACAAATTCCATCCGAACAGACATAGATAGAAGCTAATTAACAAATAAGAGAACGTGCTAAGTAAAAGTGGATATGTGATTAATGAGAAAAAACTATTGTTCATTATTAGTATGTCTAGTATAATTAATAAAGTTCGGTCATATTAATGTCAATAATTAAAATTAAAACTTCGGTTGTCAACCCGTCTGCGATGAAACTATCAGAAGTAAATTTTTGATTATTATTATCATTATTACAACCTCTCACAAGTTGACTATTGAACATAGCTCTTCCCCAAGGAATGCTTTTAGTAACAGTAACACTATCAAGTGAACGGTACATGATGAAGAAAACGCATTGTCACCTCTGAGGACTAAGATGGAATGCAATGAAATTTTGGCTTTGTCTTTCACTCATCATACGACACATAGCATTTAGCTGCTATTTTACTCTGATATTCTGTGAGAGCTTGGCCCACCCTGGTCAAGCCGACCCATTCGTACACATACCATGGTGTAAATTACGATACTTGCATATATTATGTTCAACAAACATTTCTATATATACCTACCACTAGACGGGCACTACGGTAATAATATATTTCGTTCTAAGGCGTTGCGCAAACGTGGACACTTTTTGTTACCGACACAGCCTAAATCCTAAATCGCGCTAATAAAGTTCCGAAGTTAAAGCAGTATATATAGAATAGCTCCGAACTACCACTCGGAGCGTTGGCCGCTCCCCGGGCAGAACATCTTGCCCGGCGGGAGATCTCCCCTTTCCCTCCAACGCCACAGTTGTGTTGATTACTTTTGTGTCGTTGATGTTGACGTAGACGTCGTTGCCGTCAATATTTACAGACAAATCAACTACGTCAATGTCAGCGCCGTACGATTGTAAGGAAATTTGTTTTCTGTTGCTTGTATCTTCAACTAACGACTTAAAGTTTCCAGTTACCTACACCGAACACATTTTGATTGGCGATCTGTATGTGTCAAGTGGAAGCAACTGGACACAAAAAGGGTTTACGTCTGCGCAAAGAATGGCTGATTTCAATTCATTACATGATAATTTAAAATTAAGAATTTTGTACAACCGATTTCAATGTGAGTTATTAAGAATAATTCAAAATGTATGAATAATTTAAAATGTATTGGTCAGATTTTGATAAAATTTATATGGGATCACATGTGAAGCACCAGCTTTCAAATAAAAAAGAATCATCGAAATCGGTCCACCCAGAAAAAAGTTATGAAGTAACAACATACATAAAAAAACATATAGTCGATCTGAGTACCTCTTTCTTTTTCGAGTCGGTAGAAGATAAAATATTCATTGGTAGCTTGTATCTTACACAAGCTACAAAAGTGTCTAGGTTTTCGTAGCGCCTAAGTCATGATCAATTCTTTGTAACTCTTAAAATCAAGACTTATATGTATACTATTAAACGGGTTCTGCGACCTTAATACATTGCGTACTAAGTTACGGTCAATTCTTCGTAACTTATTTTTTGTGGTGAAGTAAATCCATGCTATAGTTATATTATGACTGTAGCACAAATGGGTGTCGACTCAGCAGGAGTATGCTCTCACAAAATGTCAGTGTAAAATAGTAGTTCAACATTCCTGTGTTTTGTATGGTGAGTGTAGAGAATCGGAGACTTACTTTACTGGAAACGAGGCATTCCGTTTTAGTCCTCAGAGTTGACAAAGCATATGCATTTAGATTTCTTAATCGAGGATAAATTTAGATGTCTATATGTCTACGAGTATGGGTTACAGCATTAATTTATCATCAGGTGAACTTTGTGCCCGTGTGTCACCATTATTCTATTAAAAAAAAAGTTGGTTCGTACAGCGGGCATCTACGAGGTGCCGGAGGAGGTGAAGGAGCGCGTGGGGTCGGCGGTGCTGTCGCCGTCCAGCAGCGCGACGCGCGACGCGCGCGCGGCCCCCGCCCCGCCGCCCGCGCCGCGCGCGCTCGACCCCGCCGCCGACACCGGCGCCGACACCGCGCGCCTCGTGCACCGCGCGCCCGACTGCTAGCGCCGCGCCCGCGCCACGCCGCTCCTCCACGCCGCCTACACACGTGTCGCTCAACTATTCAATCCTCTTAACAACCGGCTCATTCAGCTCGATCATTCAAATGGATCATTTTCCAGTTTCAATAATCTGTGATCTGTAAGACCCACTCTATAATAGCGGTTCTCGAACATTATTGTACTCTTTGGTCGCAACTCCTGTCAATCGTTTGATACGAAACGCAATCATCAATAATTTGATGCGACCCGGGTCAAATGAGCGAATCATTCACGTTTGACACATGTCTAATCAACGCTACACGTTCCAAATTTAAACGATACCTTCGTATCAATTTCAAAAATGACCCCTACGTACACGACATGAAGACCACAATCAGGTGCATTTAAGTCGGTATTAAGGCGGCCGTCCCGTCACTGGGACTGCCAAATACGCCCGAAAACTTCTAAAATTGGTAACTTTTGGTAACATTTGTACACCTCTCAAGTCGTTTACAGACAACTATGTAAATACTAAGTAATCTTAATACTAAGACGGCCAACGATCCGAAATGTGTAGAGCAGTTCCACAAAGTAGCTTTATTATAACATTATTATAATACACAATAAAATAATCTAAATAAATTACGAATCTTCTAATTATAATTTTTTTCTGATTTTAAATTTCTAATTATAAACTTTTACGATATTAAGAAACAACACTCATAATAGCTAAAAAACAAAAACGAAGTTCTTTAAACAATTTGTTTAATTTCCGTTAAAATTTCAACACATTCAACATTTACTACAGTTGGCCGCCTTAACTGACGCCTTACTTTCGCTTTTATAGTATCTTCGGTGCCGGACATAATATCGTATGCTGCGTTCTTAATTAAAAAAACACATTAAAATTGCTTAGTGAAATATAAAAACAACTTTACCGTTCTATTACAAAAAATAAATATAACACAGTAGTAGTAGCAATCTACACCCTTTAATATCTACTTAATAAACTTTGTTCATGTAGTACCTATATTAAACAATTTTAATGTTTCAGTACTATAAGACTGAGCACATTAAAATTCTATTTTTCTCCTTTTACTTCTGTCTTTATATGAAACGTCTTTATAAATCTTTGTTATATTGTTGAATTTATACTAATTCTATATTTACATTGTATACTATTTTTACATCACAACATGTTTTGTTACATCGCGTTCAGTCGTACTTACCTGTCATACATGTTTGTTTTGAAGCTGACCAATTTATCGTTTCAACGGGCTTAAGAACCATATCATTTCGTGATAAACATAATTGTTAGTGATCACATGTAACTATGAAAATCCTATATCTAACTTAAGTGTACCTTCTACTTCTATTGAGGCCAAAAGACTTATTCGGTTATACAGTGCGGTCCAGTGCATCGGTTTACAATATTTTACTGATCTTTTAAACTAAGCTGCGCCTACATTCCTGCGATTTGTATAATAACGTTGAATTAGAAATAAATGACTTAGTACATAAATAATTAATTAAGGAATTGTTGTTTGGTGGCTACCGCTGCTTTCTATAAGGATTTTAAATTGATTTGACAATAAGCGACATACTATCTAGAGAATAATTTATTTATTTTGTTTTAAGACTATGTAAAATATAGCTATGTTGTGTTTTATAATTGTCTATTAAATGGTAAAATTTATTTAGATTTTTTATACGAATTCATTGTCAATTTGCCATAAATGTATAAGATAGACTTTCTGTTGTTTTTTTATAATGTTTAAATAAAATAATGTCGTCGTCAATTTCTTTGTTAAAACGGAAACCTAATTATATATTGTAAATATGTGCGTTCCAGTTGTAATGTGATGTACATTTTAATCCAAATTTTATCTACATTGTTTAGTTATAACTATAAATATTATGTACTATATGATAGACAAGGATTCCTCTGTGGGTATAAAACATCACAAACGTATATATGGATACAAGGCACATTAAATTGAGAAATATAAAGTCTATATAATATGTATAATATTTATCTACATTTAATGTAAAAAGTATAAATCTGTCAATATAATGCATAAGGAGATGAAAATATTTTTGTATTGGGTTTATTATAGCTATTAGTTGTCATTTGACGTTAGTCGGAAATATGTAAAATACATTCATTACAAAAACTGATATTTATTTTTATTTTTTAAACCCCAATGAATTGTAAATACAATTTAAGTACTATGAGACTTCATTTTATTAATAAAATACAAATTAATCTGATAAAAAATATTATTTCAAATCCATCTAACGACAAAGCTTTGAATTGACATGTACAGAATTTAGTTTAATTCTGTGATTAAAATAATAAAACAATATTGTTTCTAAATGCAGGGTTAATTGGATAAGATTAATTGTATAGCTATATTAATTGTATAGTTGTAGCACGAATGGGTCGGCTCCACCGGGAAGGGAGCCCGCTCTCACAAAATATGTGACATAGCAGCTTAAACTAACTAATAAAAATACGACTCAATTCAAGTATATCACCCAACAGTTGAATGATTGCAAAAAGCATAATGAATAAAATATACAAAGATAATAATAACAAAAGGTAATCAACACAAACTAAGACTACTTGATCAAGCATAACAAGACCACTAAAGTTTAAAGGTTAATCTAGGTAGTTTAGTAACTAAATTAACAAGATAATCGACGGCTCCGTGGCGCAGTGGCTTAGCAATCAGTTGTTGTGCTGGGGGCCGCGGGTTCGAATCCCGCACGGAACAAGTATTTGTATGGCCTACAAATAATTGTTCCGTGTCTGGATGTTTATCCTAGTGCAATTTATGTTTGTAAACTGCCTCCACGACACAGGAGAAAATCCTAGTGTTGGGGTAACGTTTTTTTAAAAAAAAAAAGAAAAAAAATTTAATGCAATTATTTAACAACGAAATTAACCAGTTTTAAACTGTATTGCAAAAAAAAACCTTAAAGTATTTTACAGTGTGACACAAAAAAGCAATAAAAGTTGCTAACAGTGCAGCAAGGTAGGTGCAATACAAAAAGGAATACACAATTATTAAGTTTCGACAGACAAGATTAATATTATTGTGAAGCAGTGTACTATGAATGATAATAATTATACACTGTAACTTGAGGCTCAGAAGGGCTAGAACCCAGAGCTGTAAAGCCAATTATAAAAGAAAATCTCTGAGCTGTTAGATCTTCAGTTGATTTTGCACCTTTTGTTGACATTTGACATAAACGTTATTACATTAGGCCGTATACAGAAAGAAATCCGGCAGCCGGCATAGATAAATATAGGCATCCGGCGCCGATCTACGAGCGCTTATCGGCGCTGGTCTATTCTGGTAACAGTTACATAAAGCAAGCCGATTAAAGCAGAGCGAGGAAAATGTCGTACTCATCGGACGATGAAATACTTTTGTTAGAAAATGTGTATTTTAAAATCCGAAAATAAACTATACATCCTGTTAATAGAGAAAGGAAACGTTTCGGAGAATACCATCATTTATTTATAAAACAATTGAAATTTGATGATCAAAAATTCTATAGATATACAAGAATGACTCAAGAAACATTATATTATATTTTGGACTTGGTGGAAAAACATTTGATGAAAATTGGTGTAATTGGCATAAACAACCAATCCTTCCAGAAGAAAGACTAAGTACGAAAAAATATATTTATCGCTTAGTTATTAAAAGATAAAATTATTAGATTTATAAAAAGATTATAGGTAATAAAAAAAAATGTTTAAGAAAAGATGTTTATTTGTCCATTAGTCAATTTTTACAAAATATTCGCCTTAGAACTGTAAAGCTCTGTAATAAATAATAATTTAAAATGTTTAAACGTTGTTTAAATATACACCTGTACAGTCAACAGCAGATCAAGCGTAACACTTTGAGATTTGTACCGACCTTATTATTTTGTAATAAGAGCGATTTTAAAAAGTATCGAAGGGTACCCTTGATATGCCGTCTTCCGTACAATCAACACGTCACTATTTATTTCTCTATTTAACAAAAATATATGCGTGTCGTAGTTGTACGTGTTGTCGTATAGTTGTTCATTAATTTTAAATGGCGAGCGGCGCCAGCGCTGACCGACGCGTGTCGAAGATTGTCGGAACTTGTAGGCGACGTTCGGCGCTTATCGACGCTTATCGGCGCCTTTTCATATAAATGCCTGAGCCGGGTACCTGCGTGGACCGGTCCCTATAAGCTCTGATAGGCTGCCAGCTTCCTTCTGTATACGGCCTTATTGCATATTGTATACCTACTCTATTGTAGAACTTGTGTGTAATCAGTTAAACGTAAATAATACAATTACCTTCAACTAATGATAACTGATAATGACAACAAACAACGAAACAACAAAAAAAGAGAAAAAAAGATCAACTAAAGAATCGAAGATACAAAGATACAATACACAAACTGCCGACGACAGTGGAATTATTTTTGGGCACCAAACGACGTGTGTTCTTGCTTTCCACACTTTGAACGGCCTGGATGACTTGTTTACGCCTGGCCACATCTTGCTGTCAACTGGGTTCTAATGGGCCTTGCTGCACAGTGTCAGACGAGGAACTAGGCTGGGGCCATTTAGTAAGAAGGATATCAAACTCTTCCTCAGTGAAAATTTTTATGCGGGTACTATCTGGAAGTTTAATGTTTATGGTTCCATCAAGAGTCCAAACATTCTTCATGCCGAAATGTCTGCGAGCCTTCTTATATGTACTCTGTCGCATTTTAGTAAGAAACTCCGATATCGTGTATGATGTATTCTTTAATTTGGACTTAGATCTCCAGACTTCAGATTTAGTATCATGATTATGAAAATGGACAAGTACAGCTCTTACCCGATCACTTCCCGGAGCTCCCAATCGATGACAGCGTTTCAAGGAAGACTTGCTTATATGTGAAAGGCCCATTTTATTATTAATAAGTGCAAGTACCTCTTGTTCCTCATTTAATCCAGGCTCTTCAGGAATACCATTAAAAAGAAGCA